AATAATATATTAATAATACTTCTAGCAAACATTCTGGACGGAAGGAAGGAAGGGAGGAAGGAAGGAGGGGAAGGAGATTTTATTCATGATGTGGACAATTCCTGTCTTGAAGAGCAAACAAATGTTTGCAAAGAAAAGAGGTGTTGTATGGAAGAAACAATCCCGCACCAAATACCTGCATGGTATTCTGAAGCATGCCTTTTACTCTGCATACTGTTTGACCTTCGCTGCACTTGATAATTTCTTTTCAGAATCAGAAGTGCTTCCTAGATGTGCTCTTTTCTGTGACACAAGTGTCTGTCGTGTATTTCCAATAGCAAAGCACTTAGACCCTGCAGAAAACAAATGCTTATTTAGAATATTCCGGTATTTGCATGTAGCAAGCACAAAAATAGAGGCATGTGATTTCAATAGAGACGTAGCATTTTAATGAGACTGTCCCTGTGTGTTTATAAATGATTAATACAATGAATTGTGTATCATCTCTTTCTTGTGATCTCCCTATCCAACTACTGTGACAAAAACTGAGAGTTATACAGAGATTGATTTTACATATTACATAATTAGTTCTACGCTTAATGAATCCGATATTTTTCTAGAACACACAATCTGATCATTAACAATGTACCACCAACATTTTAAATCAGCAGCATTCTGAAAAGATGAATAATTCCCTGGTGGAACAAGTACCAAACTACTAGCTCCAGGAACTGAATAAGGAATGGGGTGGGCATGCCTACTTTCTCAAAGCTGCTTATACAAAGGTCCTACATGAAGTGATGTCTATTCACACACAGTTTGTGGATGTATGTATAAATTGTGCTCTTAGTAGTGTAAGTATTCAGAAAGGTCTGCATTTTCTGAGCTTATGTCCGAGGCTCAGACTTGTTTAATTATGGCGAATTTTACCCTTTGATACAGCAAAACTGTTTCTGAAAGGCTCTTAATGATACCAAAATTAAGCTGCTCAAGTTCTTTATTTTATAGGAACATTTATCAACAAGTCTTATATATATTTATATATATATCTGAAATAAAGTACTGAAAGTATTGTTTGTTCTACCAAGTAGAAAACATCTATAAAAACTGTGCACAATGTTTCTGTCTTCAGAATTACTAGATTTAGTTGTTTATTACTTTCTTGCTTCACGTGTTTAAGCAAAAAAAGTGTTCCTTAGGAGAACACCGTTAATGTATAAAAAGAGAGAAATGAAGGGGAAAAAAATATTTAGATGATTTCTTAAGTAGTCTGATGCATCCACTCAAGACACCGAAACATGTTAGGTCCTTCCCTCCCCTGCCCCACCCCCCAATTTTAAAACGGTGTAAATACACATCTGGTTTTACAACTAAAGAAACTCTGTTTAAAGTGGATGCCAAAATGCAAAATGTATGCCGTTAGAAACCAGAAGAGTGTCTTCCTGAACTTTTAGGAAATTAAAGGACTCTGCTCTCAGCAGCTTCTCTGTCAGGTCTGATATTCATGACTCCTGATTCCATCTTCTCCACAACACACTCCACCCAAAAGGAACACTCTTCCACTATAATTAGTGACCAGCTTTTAGAGACAAAATCTAAATTTTATGCATTTTCTTTCGAGGCTTAATATCTCTACCAATAATGTACTCACATCTGTCATGTTTGTCAATACACAGTGCTAAAGTGAAATTAGGCAGAAAATAGCTGTTGAAGCAAATTGCCTTGTCATCGGTCTTTCTAATCTCTGATGTGTATTCAGAGGCCCTTGATTCCAGCAATGTCGGAAGGAAAGCTTAATTTTTCCATTCTCCCTGGAAAAACACTTTCCTGTGAAGTTCCCCTTTGCTTAAGTAATACGACTGAAAATAAGTCTTTATGATTAGCAGCAGCTGGCTGTCTGGACATAGCCTTTAGCTAAAATGTGTATGGGTTATTAAATAGGCGTTGGACATGGAAGGAGAGAAGTAGGAGGATAGAAGAGCACTGATTGTTCAGGTATTGTTGAATCATCTGTCTGGAACCAAGTGGTCAGGGAATGGCAGTAAAAGTAGCAAATTGCGCTGGAAGTTAAATGTTTACCGGCTGACACAGAGGGGGATTTAAAAAATTATAATTATTTAAAATTTTTTTTTTTTTAATGAAAGTGAAAAAATAAGAAACAAAGCAAGTGAAGAAGCGCCTGCTGCCCACGGGAGGGGCTGGCACGGCAGCGAACCGCGCGGCCACCGCCTCAGCACCACGGACAGCGGCGCAGCCCCGCCTTGTCTGCGGAAGAGCGCTCCCGGGGAAGGGGAATGTCCCCTCCCTACCCTCAGGAAACCACCTCGATACTGTACGTGATATCAGTGTGGGCTTGGCACTCCCTCTCGAGCACTTCGGACAAATGGCTCTTGACTCGAGATGTTCGGATGCCGTCATATGGATGGGTGTCTGAGTTGTGCCTGTGTGTTACTGAACCCCCGGGACTCTGCAGGTTCTTTTCCTAAGGGGTAACTTATGTTTGTTCCCATTACTTTCACAAACAGTGACATGCAAGAGGGTTTCACACCAAGTCTTGAGACATATTTCCATACCTGCGTGGCCTTCAGTATGGGTGTGGGATTGTTCTACCTACTTCTTCTCTGAGCCTCTCTTTGGTCATAAGATACAGACATTGTACGAAACTGCAGTAGTATGAAAACTGCAACTGAGGCTACATCATTTTCTATTCTATTACAGAGCAATGTCTGAATTTTCATAAAAAATATTGTCAAAAGGAGTTTAGCATTTAGGTGGGAAAAGGAAAGGGGGGGGTGTTTCACTTTTTTTTTTTTTTCCAAAAGGTGTCTCCACAAAAGGTAACCTCAGATTTTCTACATACAACTATGGAACATTTGTCTGGGAAAAAAAGTAATACCTGAAAGAAGTTGTCTATTTATCTAAACTATTATATATTTACTTGCTTCCTACTGTGACCAGGAAAAGGCAGATTGCTGCTGCACCACAGATGAGGTAGTTTCTTTTATTGAGGATTTTTATTTCCAGCAGTGTGAAATGCACATCTAATTGTAAAATAAGACTGTGTCACCTGCCAGTCACTTGCTGCCATCAACCTCTCTTGTGCTTGGATCAAATTACAGTGCAACAGAGAAAGTGACAGCATCAGGGCACAGTGACAAAGCTGTAGTTTGCACAAAAAGAAGACCAAGGCCCGGAGAGACACTGCAGCTACAGAAACAGCTGTCTTATCAGCACACTGCAGAAACAGAGATGGCTCAAGAGGTCCTCAACAGATAATGACTAATAGCTTTGCAATGCGCCAAACTTCATGCTTGATAAGACAAGCCCAGTGTAAAGAGCAGCAGAGATCGAGTTTTATTCTATTTTATCTGTGCTGTAAATTAATAAATTGAAATTCAGGTGGCACAGCAGCCAGCATGTTGTTGATAATCCAGTGAAGTAAACTGTCATTTGGATCTTTTCAGCAAAGAGAAATAGGTTTCTCTTACTTGATACTGTTTTAATAAAAACACCTTAAAAAATCCTCATCCCCAATCACTGTCCCAGCAGTACCTGAACTGGAGTGGAGGTACCTTGTCTGTTCCACTGTTATGGCATATCTTTGAGTCCCAGAACAAACCATCCATTTGGTTGTCAAGTCCTTTACAAAGGAAAGTTTCCCTTTGAAACTGCAGCAGCTTATTTGCAATTCCTTGTTTCCTCTGCAGGAGAAGGAACTGCTCTGTGATTTTTAATACACACAGTCAAGCTCACAAAGCTCAGTTCTCTAACAGACAATACGAGCATGTCTTTGTGAGAACAGCTGAAAAAAAATTAATTGCTGCTGTGAAAAGAATCTGTAATGACCTTTGGAATTATTAACTTGAAAAAATATAAGCCATAGTACACACACGAATACATTCTATAGGAGGAAAAAACCATCCTGTTTCAAACTGTGTTTTTCGTTTGATTAATGGCATCAGAATAAAATATTATAGCTCCACCTTTTTCCAGCAGAAATACGCATTTTAGACTGAGTTCAGCTTACCTTTGATCTGTGTTTTTTAAAAAAAAAGCTATGTAGAAAATGCAATTAAAAGGAATACAACTGGAGCATATAATCTAAGGTCACAGAGCACTATTTTCTAAATGGTTTTAAATTATTTTCTAAGAGTTTGCTACATGCACTTAATTCCTTGTGATTGGTTCTTGAAGGGCCAGAGTAACTCTATAGGCCTGTAAACCATTAAGTTACTAATTTTTAGTCACTAAGGCTACCTTTCCATCTTCTTGAAATAATAAATTAAGACAAGATTAACTATTTCTTAGTGAAACACAAGGTACTTAAGCCAAGAGAAACCTAAACTTGAACAGAAACCTAAAGATTTACCACTCAGACTTATTAAATGGAGGGCACAGAGGCAAGACTGCTTCTATCCTCTGATAATCTAACCACATGTATTTGGCCTTAGCCTGTCACTTAAACATATCTGATAGCAGGAGCTATCAGTTACAAGGACTCAGAAGATGAGTCATTTATTTAATACATTAAGAAAATAAGCTTTCTCAAAGCCAAGAGGAAAGGCAGAATCAGGGGAGAAGGGAAGCATCTTTGGCACATGCACTTTGTTAGATACACCTTTTTGCTTGTCCCTGAAATCTGGTGGCTTTTCTAATCATGTGGCAGAGAACAAAACTAGAGTGTGATGTGAGAAAGCATAAGGCACATGTGGATAAGGTCAAACCTGTTCTGCAACTTAGGTCCACTGTGCAGTTTCAGCACACACAAATTACTGCCAAGTGGCTGTCCCTGAATCAGAAGATCACTTGGTTTTTGAGATGCATTTCAGAGTTCACAAAAAGGCAGGTCATTTTGATGAAATTCACAAGCCAAAAACACAACTATAACAATTTGCCCTTGTGCCTTCTAATTTGTGGGGAATACGTAAACAGAGCCTGAGGTAATTGATACCTTTGCCAGCAAACACTGTGTACATGAGAGGAGAAATAACCTTGCATCAGAGACAATGAAAAGCAAGAATACAATCAATCAGTATTTTTAATGCTGCTTTTTATCCCAGAACAACAAGTTCTTTTTCAGTTCTCCAGTGAATCATTCCAAATACTGTCAATTCAGTTAGATTAGACTTTCACCATAACAATAAGTTTCTCCAAGAAAAAGATATATGGTTATAAAGTAATTGTAATGAGCATATCCTCTCATGGTATTAAAGCTACAGGAATATTGACTTAAAAGATGGATTTAACTTTTTTTTCAAAAGTCTGTGACTGTTTTCATTTTTTGAGGTGGAAAGCACGTCTTACTCAAATACAGCTTTTTAGTATGCCAGCATATTTCCTGCTGACAGCACAGTGAAGCAATATAGTGGAAGCTGCTGCCATTATTTTACTGAACAAGTCCTTGTAAATTCCAAAGTGTTTGGATAATATATGATTAGTTCATTTTCAGATAATCAGATAACATAGGTAATAGATGGAATTTTTTTGACCTTGTAAAGCAAGTACTTAAATATATTCCATGTAATTTTAAGTATCAGCTTCAACTTTTTTGTTCAATTAAGAGAATATGACTCCAGCCAGCAATAATGATTCAGTAATGATACACATTGTGTTCTGCACTAACATATAAGGGCAGGATTTCAGAAGTGTATGAAACTAGTTTATTTCCTTCCTTCTCCAAATTAAGTTCATCTTTTTATAACACACACCTGCTAGGGTTGCTCAAATGTGGGGAGTGAACAGCTGTCAGCACACACTTGAGAAGGGAATATTATAAAATGCTTTTTTCATAGCAATACATTAAAGGCAATTATCTCTTTTTTATGAGTACTCCATGCTTGCCATGTAACTTTACATTCCTTTAAATTTATATGTTACATGTTATAATTTTTTCAAAAGATGTGGAATTAGAATTTGCTAATTATTTCTTGCAATGACTAGATACAAAAACCAAGTCACACTTTCTAAAAGGACTTCCCTTATGTTACTTATATCATCAAGATATTTCCTTAAACTATCAAGCTTGTAAGTGTCTAAATAACTACTTTTTATTATTTTTTATGTCAGAATTACTCACTTGTGGATGACACAATGGTATTTCACTGGTGCTGGCCTAGTTTTCTTGTCTTTAAGCCTCTTTTGGAGGTTTTGTTTCTTCTGTTATACAACTCAGTTTTTCGATCAGGAGTACTATGCATAGCTTTGTACTACTTTGATTCTGCTGGAGATGAGTCATCAACAAATCCAAATCATAAATGACCATATAATTTTAAATATCTAAAAGGTTATTCAAACTAATAGTAATGTACTGCACTGTTGTATGACTTAGTGGAACAAAATATGTCACAAAACTACAGCAAATTATTCTGATGTTGTCATGGACATTCATTCTCCTGAAAGTTCTTCTCTGTGTTTGATCATTAGGTAATAAATATATGCCCTGCAGAACAGGCATAAAGGTGCTATATTTTTAGTTATTATTTTAGCAGAGATTCAGGAAAAGGACAGAATAATTTCAGTTTCTTAGTTCAAAAGAAGCCCCCAAAATAGCAAAATACTGAAACATATGTGATTAAGAATTAGGATTAAATTTTCATGGTCTTATAATGGTTCCTAATGATGGCAACTGGTTTGAAACAGTATTTTCATCAGTGTGATTTCCACAGTCTTTCCCCTATCATGTTATTTTCTTCATCCCTTACAGGAAATGGAAGATACATTGTGAGGCTTAAAGCAGATTTAAATCATGTGGTATTTAACACAAAACTGTCATGGGTCAAGAAGCTGTAAAGTTTCTCTTTTTTTACTCAGATTTGCTTTGCAAACTTAAGATTCGCCTGCCTCCTTCAACTCACCTTTAATCACATGGAACTTAACTTACTTTCTGTTTTTTTTTTTTTTTTTTAATTGTGTTTTGTTGTTATTGTTGATTTTTTTTTCTTTTAATGTGGTGACAGGGAGAAAAAAGGAACTGAATATGACAGGATGACTGGATATTGCTTTTTGATTATGGAAAACTACTGCTCTTCCAAATATGAGATCAACAATTCCAATGTACATGAAAGGTGATGTATGTAACAAATGCAATTAAGGCACAATTATTAAAAATGCTGTAAAAAGGCTTACTTAGCCTTTCCATCCACAGCCTTTTTCCTCTTTTCACCGGCATGGCAAATCTTGAAACTGAAAAGATTTATACCACATAATCAGTGCTCCTAGCTGCTACACTAAGACAAAAGGCAAATACAAAATTACACTCCAATTATTTTAATATTTTTTGCTATAGTTCTTTCTTAATCCTTGTAAAGCATTCCTGTAACTGTCAATGAGCATTCAGAGCCAGAATAAAATAACTGAATTGTGGAACTTACAGCCATCTTCTCACTTTCTAACAGATACATAGCATTTATTTGCCTTCAAATAGAATCTTACTAGTTCTCCCAGTCTTTGTTTTATGTATTTAGATCCCCCATGTTTCTTTAGCATGCTCAAATAGGATAATATATTTTTGGATTTTTTTGTATTCGGACTGGGTGTTTGAGGTCCTAAAAGCCTACTATGCAGTAACTATGCAAATGAGCATTGTGGGCCATGCAGATAAGACTGTGTAATATGATGTTCAGACAGTCACTTATTCTGCAGTCTTTCCTGCTTGGAATAACTGCATTTTCCATGGAAGACTGAGATAAAGGGATCAACTATTTATTGCTTGTATCTGTGTAGAATCACCATAGCTTCTATATATTATGTGTTGAGATATATAGTGTATACCTATCTTAAGAAAATAAATATTTAATTGCATACTTTGATGAAGATGGTTTACAAAGGCTAGTAAGTCATATGCATTAAAAAGTTTCTTATTAGAGCCTGTTCTATAGCACCACCACCTAGTTTGCCGTAAACTGGTGCTAAGTTGTACAGTGCTGTACCACCCAGTGCCTGGAACGTGTGGGCAGAAAACAAGCAACAGTAGTGTGAGAAAAAATGGAGGTATGAAAAAATAAGAAAAGGAGTCAAGAAAGTATTTTAGGCTATAGTTATTTGAATTGGGAAAGAATGCCTCTTTAATACACAAGAAAAGAAGAAACAGAGACATAAGGGCATATATGGACATATAAGGAGACACATAGCAAATTAAAAAAAAAAAGAACCATCACCCCATTTAAGCTTGGGAGAAGAGGCAGGGAATCACCAAATGAATTCAGAACATATCCTTTTCACTCTCCAAAACCAGTATTTTCTCCTAGAACTTAATGCTTCCACAGGGATGCTCTTCTTGCATCTCCACAGCACATTAAGAATAATTGAACAGCTGCTGTTTGGAGACAACACCTCTAACATCTCTCTTCAGTCCACAAGGCTATGTCTTTCCTCATTCTTGATAAGATTGACACAAGGAGAAACAAGGTTATTAAAAATTACAGAGCTGGGTTTAGTCTTTATATAATTTTTTGCTTCTCCCAGCTCTGATTATAAATTGCTGATTCAGCCACAGCCCAGTATTGTCTTGATAAGTCAAATGCTTTTGGACAGAAAGAAAAATTAACTACAGAATTTTATGCTTTCTTTATTTTTCTTTAAAAACCAAGTAACAGCTTCAGAAGATGTTTGTATAGACTAAATGAGTGGATAGAATGTGTTCTTCCTTGACTTTAGTTTTGCTGCTGTTGTGGAAAATAGCTTCATTTTCCTGCATAAGTGCGCTGCTGCAGCCTCTGGAATCCTCCTGCCAGAGCGTGAGGAAGGGAGGAAAACAGCTCAGTTTGAACAACTTATCCTTAAATAATGGAAATGCAGACAAATGTAGATGCAGTATTGAACCTTTCGGGGGAGTAAGTAATGTTTTCATTTGAAAGCAGTTTTCAAAAGGAAATGCATCTCTCCCATCACTCAGTCAGTGTTTGAATACGTAGGTTTGTAAAACCCGGTCCAGGTCTGTATATGACAGAAGCACAATGATCCTTCCAGAGCCGATGTCACTGTTGTGGCTCCTGAATTAGATGGGAAGCTTGATCTGGTTCTAAGACATTCTAGCTGGAGATGAAACTGGCCCCAGAACTGCTGGCCATACTGAATGCAGCTGCTTGGGATCAAAAGGGAAAGCTCTGTTCCTGACAGTCTGTCATCCAGGCTCTGGGATTGTACCCTCTACCTTTTGGTCTCAAGGAGATGTGGATTACACTGTTGATTCTGACAAGGCATTGTGAGTTTACAAGACTTTATGACTTCCCACTCTGTACCAACAAAAGTGGAATCAGTGGATGTTTCAGCTCTATTTTATTTTAAAGGCCTTTTTTTCCCTCCCCTCCAGTCTCTAGGCCATGCAATTTTTTCTCTCAGTTTACATTGCTATAGCCAAAACTCTGCAATATTCTGGATAAGCTGAAAGGCATGGGTTGACAGAAGTTTTGCTTCCATAATTGATAAAAAAGACTTTCTGATAATTGTCTGAGTTTAACCTCTGTTCTCATATAGGTTTTTAAACTTAAGAAATAAAAACCTAAATTGTGCCTTTTGTGAATTTCTGCTTTTTTTCCTGGTCATCTCTTTTGCATAAATGTGACCTGTGGGAGATCAGAATTGTGAAAGATTCTTGCTTTCTTTGATGAAAAATCCATGTTTTAAGACAGTTGCTGCAGTCTGTCTTTGAAGAAGAAACTGATGATGGAACTGTTTTTGTATCAGGCCCCTTGAGTGGTAAACTGTGATTTATGCGGAGACACTGTCACTGATTGCCTGCATAAACAAAGCAGAGGACAAATGATAATACATATGGTCAGACTTCTTCCTGTAAACTGCAAGAATCAAACTTCAGAGAGCAGGTAGGAAAAAACCCAGCAACACTACTTAGATTTATAAGATAGGGAAAACATCAGAAGATACCTGCAAAAATATAAGTATGTGAGATTTTTAACCAATTATATGAAGCAAAGAATGGCCTACATATTTCTATATCTTGAAAAGCCTCTGAGTCTTTTCATCCCTGTTTACGGCAACGCTCATGAACTACAGATATTGCAGCTCTTGTTGCAATTCACAACAAGAGTTTTTCTCCAGCATTGATCTTCACTGCTAAACTTCTTAAACTGTGTTCTTAAACTGGGATTAAACTAAATTTATTGCTGAAATAAATTCTACAGAAGCCTTCTAGTCTAGCCCAGCTCATTCCAAACATCACTGGGGGTGACAGATACAAATAGTGAACCCACGATCAAAGCTGGTATCATTTGCCTATTTGTTATCTTCTTTACTCTCTGTGTCAGTGCCCGCTCCAACCTCCTTTCTTCCTCTCCCATGTTTCTGCTTTCTCTAACTTCTCACTTCTTGAAGAGCAGACAGACAAGAAAATACCTTGCAAAATCGCTGTCATTCTATGTTTTGTCCTCCAGAAACAGGCCCAGCAGAGCTCACAGCAACTTCTGCTGTCCCTGGACTCTAGCATTGTATTTGAAGCTGACATGAAGAGTCTGGTCTTCCAGTTGGCACCCTTATTACAGTACTGGCTACATCTTACTGTTTGAAAAGCCTTCTGCTTTAACACCTCCTGTTACCTCAGTAAAGTGATGTTTGAATAACTGAACTGGCTTCAGTGAACTGCAGTTGCCATTTTTCTGCTTCTTAGTGAGAATAAATGGAGATAATTATGAAGTGGAAGAGCAGGTTTAATGAAAGCTGGTTTCTTTTGGTATATTCCTGAAGCGGTAATCATCATCTGTTTGGCTTTTGAAGAGCAACAATTATAATCACTCAAAATCCCAAGGGGAACAAAAATAGAAATTAAATTAGCATATAAAATATACAGCTGGATTGGGCAAGCCTATAAAAATCTGGGAAAATCATTCTAATTTGAAAGCTATTCAAAATCACAAACAAAGTGAGTACAAGAGTATTTTACATGTTTCTTCCTTTCTTTCCCTTTTTGAAGTAGTAACATAACAACATTTATAGGATTTTCCTAAAACATGAAATGAAAACTCATTGCCAAGGAAGAGAGTTAGTAAAAATAAGTTAAAGGTGCATTTTAAAAATAATAGATAAACTTCAGCATTATAACATCATTTTAGTGATATTTATCTCCCAAAGTTCTGATATAACTGTATTGCAAAGTCTCGTGCACTGACTTTCCAGAGCTAAAAAATAAAAATAAAGCTGAGACAGCCAGTTAAACATCTGAGCTTCATCAGACACTTGAACAATGATAATACTTTAAAGGAATTAACAACAAATGAGGGAAAAAAAAATGCAAAAATTTACAGTATCTGTGAAGCTTTCAGTGATCATTTTGTATGGTCATTTTTATAGTTAACAGAAATTCAGCAATGAGAAGAAAACTATTTTCATTATGCTCCAATGTCCACATTTTGAACAGTTATCTAGTAATATTATCTTCTGGAAATCAATCTTCATTTCAGTAAACCATGAACTCAAAGATGGAATTGATTTTTTAATACTACTTAATATTTATTACTTTTAGTAGTTTTGACTTGAAATACTATATCTAGTTATTCTCAGCCAAGGTTAAATATGACAGTATGCAGCTGTAGGAATGGGATTTAAAAAAAGAAACAAAACAAAACAGGTGCTTCTAAAAATTTATTGTGGACAAGAATATGAAGAATTTGGATGGCTTACTATTTTTAATACTACCAGTACATGGAATATCTCCTAGAAAGACACTGTCTTGCAGACTCATATTCATTCAGTATGGTCTGATTTTCATGCCTCTAGTACAAAATACATTGCTTGCCCTTGGTTAGAAGATTCTACATGCTTAGAAATTTTGAAACCATAACCAAGCAGGTCTTGGAGGCACAACTGTTATTTTCACAAGATCTCTAAAATCATAATTAAAAAAAAAAATAAATTAAAGGTTGCAGGACTTACCTTCTACTGTACTGTACACAAAAAATATTTAAAGATATCATGTGAAAGTCCTGATAAATTTATTTTTCTGCATTGCTCAGTCCTGTGATGAGCATCTTGGAAAAATCTGCCCCCTTTTCCACTGCAATGTTCCATTCTTCCTTTCATCCCTACAATTTCAAATAATTTTATTGTTCTATTACCCTCAAATAGGTATCTGTTCTTATATGTGTTACTGTGATTGAGTAAGATGCCTTCAGACACTGAGCTTCCCGAAGCTGTGTTAAAGCCAAAAATTACAGCACACGTACTCATCCTCTCTTTTGCTTTAAGGTAAAACTAGGGAAGGCCCAGCAGGTATTTTTGACAGTCTTCCTAAGTCATCTGTTTCATATGCTGCATGTTTTGAACAACATAGTGTGCCATGGGATGTAAAAACTTATCACAGCATATTCACTTTAATGTGAAAACCAGTGCTCACTCACTTTTAAAGAAATCATAGCTGATGGTAGGACATGAGTCAGGGAGCTCATTTTGTTTCTGTCTCCCCCTCTCCCCTCCCATATTGGCCTTCTAATTTTTTTTAATTTAATTTTTTTACATATTCATATTAACACTTATATTAAAACAATTGCATAAACACGTATATTTACACAACAGTTATATTAAAACAATTTACATAATCTGGATTAAATATCCCAACCTGATTTAATGAACACTTCACAACTAGAAAGACAAAGTGAATTTTAAAAGCATTAAAATCTTATAGCTCAGAACCAAAACCTTGAATCAGTGGTAAATATTAGCTAAAAATAACATCCTGTACTGTCTCAATGACCATGCCTGCCACTTTGTTTATAAATTATCACTTCTGCAGATTGTCTGAATGGTCAATAGGGCTATTGGAACAAGAAAGTGTAAAATCATGCCTAGTGGGAATAACCAGCTCTACTTCAGACCATGTTGACCTCAGCAGCTATGACACATTGCAGAAAAAGTAGCCACTGAAGCAGCAAACACTTTATACACATTAAATTGTTCTCTTGGGGAAAATAAAAGTGCTTGAAATTGTAATATTTGTAGATTTGCTCTTATGCTGAGGCCATATGTGGCAGTATCTCTTGTTACTGATAATGACATCAAGTATTTAGATTTCATACTTTAAAAAAAAAGGCAGTTCTCAGAAATGTGCCAGTTTTGCATTTCTGTGGCCATAGATAAAGCTGAATGTGAGGATTTCATTTCTAGAAGAGAAGTCAGTCTTAACTCTCTGACTAAACATAAGCATTGAGTGAACAGGGGAGAGGACTCCAAGACAAGCACAGCATCACAACACTCCCAATAACTACTTTCTGACTACTCAGTAGAATATCACCCTGGTGATGTTACCCCTGATTTTTATATCTACAATTCCTAAGCCATACAGCTCTATTTCTGCTGAGCTAGACTAGGCTGACATTTTTGTCAACACAGCAACAAACAACACCCAAGGCAAGTAATACAATTGTGAAGCGAACTTCCAAGAAAAACACACCTCTCAATGAATCCCACTCTCCACCACCTAAATGTTTTCATTTCAATACAGATTCTCCTTCACAGACACTTACGTACATTTTCTTCTATTCCTAGGGGTTTCTGAATGCCTGACTTTTGAAGTACTGATCATTATGTCATCAAAATATGAAAAGTCTCAAGCACTGAGGTTTTTAAAAGGCTTGGTGGCTTAAAGCCCTTTAGTATAAATTCTAATGTGTTTTGCATTCTCATGACGCTTAAAGGTTTTAATTTCAAGGACCTGGCAAAATTAAAAAATTAGTTCTCTGTAGTAAATATGAGGCATGTATCTCTGCAAGTGTATACATCAATACCCTGTTATAAAAATAATGGAAGCACATTAATGATGTACCTCCAGTACTTTTAAAGAGAATCAAAGATATATGCATTTTATTCGGGATTTGGGTCAACAGCTTTCCTTATATGAATCACCAAACATTTAGGTTAGGAAAGTTAGGCTCTAATAGTATTTGTCTAGAAAGACCCAGATATCTCCTAAACAAAGCAATGTGATTTCTTTTTAAATTTTTTCTTCCTGCACGTGAAATCTTAGAATGTGATAGAGTTAAGCATGCAATTAACTAAGCTGAAAATACGTAAGGTGCTGCAGTGACTTCATGACTGAGGCTAAGATAAATTTTCAATGATTCTCACATCTCCAATTAATAGACATCTGCACTATCTGAAGATGGAAACCCCCACAAAAAACTGCAATCTTATTTTTCCATTACTTTCAATCTCTTCTGTAAAAATACACAAAGCAATGCCATTCAGAAATTTGACTTCCAAAATTTCGAACTCTCTTCTGAGGAGAATCATTACTCAAAACTAGTGCTTGAACTAGCAAGTAGTTCAATATGAACTCATATTTTGATTATACATAATCTGCAAACCAGAGAATTTCAAAGTATTACCGGTCAAGATTTCATGAAGTTATAAAAATACTTTGGCAGAAAGGAAAGAATTTGAACTGCTCTTGTTTTTATTTTTAATTATGTTAAGGCACTAAAACAAGAAGTTCTCACTATCTTGTTTTGTTAAGTTTCAAACATGAAACTATTCATTATTCTAACAGAAAAAATATCAATGTCTTCTGTGCATTGTTTGGTACTTGGTATCTATCAACTGATAGGGGCTTTCAGAAATTATAGGTGGCTTGAGAAGGAAATAATCCCAAAGAATTATTGAGAAAGTCCTGAGGAAGCAGAAGAGGATGACCAGGAAGCTCTAGTAAATCACCTTTACCAAAATTTTCAATAAATTCTTTCCTATTTGATGTAATTCTGGTACTTTTGCTGTTGCCCTTCAATTTTAACTCTCATTTTTCACACTAAGGCTGGACTTTGAAGTTAGGAAGTGTGATATCAGAGGAATTTAAACTCATTTCCTATTTGTCTGCCCTAAGGTGTGTACATATGCTTCCCACCCCACACTTAGTAATCACACACAGGAAGTCTCTTGTGTACATTTTGCTCACAGTCACTGCTCTGATTTTCAGTTACACTTTCATCAGACCATCCATCCACATATTTTTCAGGAAGGTAGCATACACAATGTGTTTGCATAAGCATGCAGACTTTTTTCCCTAGGTATTTCTAATTACTGAGGAAAATAAAGTCTTTCCTCTACAATCATCTACTCAATCAAACACATTATCACTGCCAAGCAAGATAATTCTATCAAATACTGCATCCACAAGTCTTCCAGTTTTCTTGACGACAAGTCTTTTTCAGCAGTTTTGATTGAATTTTATTTACAACATTCTTAGATTTCTTTGATTCTTTTTCTTGTCTGTTTGTTTGGTGGTGGTTTGGAGATTTTTTTTTTTTTTTTTTTTTTTTACATCCGGGGTCACTAATGCATAACCTGTGATATGTCCATAACAAGATGCAGGTGAGGGTAAATAAAGGTACTGCTTATGCCGCTGCACTGTGGCCAAATGGGTGAGCTCTCGTCAGAGAGCACTAAAGGATATCTGCTGCCACAGTGTTTCAGAGCATCTCTGTGAGAGGTGATATAAAAACAGACTAAACCATGGGGCACAGGTAAACTTATCTACTCCCTGCCTATGAACTTTATGACATTTGTGGAGTATATATACTAGAAAAGTGAGTTCCCTTCTAGTTACTTGAATTTCCTGAGAAGTTCAGCATCCTTTCCTGCCCATGCTCACCACTTTTCTCCTTCTTAGTGCTTAAAATGACAAAAATAAAAGGTGATCCATTAATGAAGGCATAAAAGTTATAAATATTTACAGCACTTAAATTCTGTGCCGTTGCTATAAAAGGAGAATATTACTACATGTGGGGGAAAAGCAGCCTTTATGATAGGAAGAAAAGAAATGCAAGTTTCTGGTTACAGAAATATATGTACAGTTTACCATCTGCAGCCTCTTAGAAGGGTTCAGCTGCAGCCAGCGCAGGACAAACTGTGCAGAAGTTACTAATCCTAATGAATATTAAACTGAATATACTAATATATTTTACGGATTACAGACATTTTCAGATGAAGAAAAGTATTTTTGAATAGAAGACACCGCAAACTAATTCTGTAATACATCAATGTTCACCTAGCTTTTTTTGTGGAAAATATCCATCTGAATGTTACTGCCTTTGGATAGACAACATTAAAATATAAAATAAGCCAAAACTTTGTTTAATAAATATGAATGATTATAGGAAAAATCAACGCTGACTATAGCTACAGCTATGAACTCTGTAGTTTGAAGTCTACTCAGCCAGGGCAGACTTCATTTTTTCTCTCTTTCTTTTATGCTGTTAAGACTCACTTTAGAATATGTCACTTTAGGATACAGGTAAAGTCTGCTCCTTCCAACAACAGTCAATAGCCTAAAAGCATCATCAGAATAGTGACTAGATTTAAAACTGCTGAAAATTATCTGTATTGCTTTAAGTAATGCTGAAGTTAAGTAATACTTACTGCTACCTCCCATAGTCTATTATTTTGATATCCACAGAATAAGGTCGGTGCAAGTTAACTATTCCTGTCTACCAGGCGACGTAAATTCTCACCTATTGCTAAATGTTGCAATGAGCAAAGGTACCTACGGTAATCATGAAGCGAGGAAACTTGCTATCATTTTAGACAGCTCTGAGCATCCATTCCTTAAGAAAATTAGATCAATTTGAGAGATTAAATAAGTAAATAAAAAATGAGCCCTCTCACTGCACTGCCCCACTTCTTTTCTGAGTGCTCCCCAGGAGGGAGGTGGGGTTCCCTGCGCCGCACACCCCCGCCTCAGCGCGCATGGACACAGCTCTCGAGCAGCCGTCCCGCAGCAGCGCTCCGTGACGAGCAGCCCGCCGGAGCGAAGGTCGCTTGCAGGCGGCTCCCGACCGCCCCGTCCCGCCCCTCCCCGCCCTGCCCGCCGCGGGTGGACCGCGCCCGCCGCCGCCGGGGACACTACACGCCCGCGCCTTCCCCGCCTGCACCTGCGCTAGGCAAGAGGTTTATGTTACGTGCGAGAATTTTCTCCTTTGGTTTTTTTTTTTTTTTTTAACCCCTATTCCAGAAGAAATTGCAATCATTAAAAAACAACAACAACAAAAAACCCAAACAAACAAACAAAAAAAAACCCACCAAACCAAACCAAACCACAAAAACAAAAAAACAGAACACTTACCATTCAGACCACATAGTGCTTTGTCATGGGCTTAAGAAAAACCCCACAGACACATATGGACACAAACACATGCGCGTATTAACGCGTTTTCTAAGCATTTGTGCCAGGGTCACACAGGAGATGGAGGAAACTGCCTGCGCTGCGGAGTACACGTAGAAATCAGCGCACAAAAGGAGGGCGACCCACACAACCCGGACCAAACGCTCCCCTTCCCCCGACCGCCTCTCCAGACCATGCAGGAACAGCAAGAGAGGCGGGCAGAAAGGAGGGATCCACGCTCCCATCTGGCTGCGGGAAATACCCGCCTTAAAACCAAAACGAAAACGAAAACGAAAACGAAAACGAAAACCAAAACCAAAACCAAAACCAAAACCAAAACCAAACAAAACAAAAAACCAAAACCCAAAAAAACCCCCCCCAAAACCCCCAAAACAAACAAACAAACAAAACCCAAAAAACCCACAAAAACAAACAAAAAAACCAACCAAACAAAACAAAACAAAACAAAACAAAAAAACCCACAAAAAACCCAAACCAAACAAAAAAAAACCCCAACAAAACAAAGCGACAACCAAAAAAAAAAAAAATCCCAAACAAAAAAAAACCCACCACACACAAAACAACAGAGTGCTGGTGTGCGGAGTATGAGGCGGGAGAGAAGTGGGGGCGGGAGGTGCAGCCCTGGAGATGATGCCATCGGAGCCCGCACCTAGCATACTGGCACCGCCGTCGGCTCTCAGCGTCCCAGCCTCCCACCACGCAGCCAGCCGCCGTCCTGCACCGCGTCCCTTGACCTTGGCAACCTGGCAGCCTCCTGGCTTTTGCCCGAAACTGCTCCCCTGAGCCAGTCCGTGTGGCTGAGGAGGGGGGGCGGTGTAACATTCAGTGAGTGGAGTCAGTGATGTCTCTCCAGGAGGATGCTGCTTGTGCATATTAGGCAAGGGAGGTTTCTCGCTGTCAAATGCCGCTGTGAAGTATTGACAGTCAACGTGCACATCCACACCATGAACTGCTGTATCTGCAAAACACCCTTCTCTGACTCCCCCACTCCCCTATGAGGGGAGTGTTCTTTCCTTCCCAGAGACTGACATCACTGATTCAATCTGATTTCACTCTGATTTCACTCTAATTCAGTATGTTAGCTCAGATTTCATGGATCCACGGAGCCCCTGGCTGTAGGTGCCTTTAGCTGGAAAATATTTCCTCCTTTTCTGTCTTCCCTGCACATCATGAATTCATGCTATTGCCTCCTCCTCCTTTGCTCAACAGCATCCCCTCAGGCTCCTGGGCTGTCCAGCTGAAGAGCTGAACCTCTCAGTAGTCATAAATCCCTGTTCTGGCACAAGAGCACATTTCATTCTTTTGGTTTATGGTATGAATTTAGATAAATTAAAAGGAGTTTAAATTCTTGGAAGTCCTTTATTTACCCTAGCTTGTCTTCTGTCTGTTGTTTTCCCACCTATTTTTGTTAGGCACCACAAATATGCTGTTATTGACCTTGCTGAGATCCTTGAATCTATGGAAAAATAAGAAATTAGTTTGCTTTTATTATTAGCATTTCTTTATGTCTGAGATGAAGAGAAGCATAAAAAACACCCTAAATGTTTTATTTCTAAAATTTATATACATACAATAAATACTTAAAAAATAGAGTAATTCTCATGCATAAAGATATATACAATGCACAAGCTGTATGACAACCGTGATGGAGAACTCAGGTCTTGGACCCCAGTTTTTCTGAAGAACCTGAGAGATGAGAGTCAAGTCTAATGTTTTCCTAGTAAGTCATTGTGCTGATCTCTATGGACAGACAGGTGGATGTTTATGTTCGGAGGAAGACTCATTCCACTCATAGCACATGGAAATGATGGTCTGCTCATGCACAAAGGCTCATTTTTGAAGGCAAAATAACAGGGGATGAAAGCTTGCAATTAAATGTTAGGAGGAACAAAGGCCTCAACAAAGTCCCTAAGCATTTTGGTGGTCACAAAGTTCAGTGTTAGATGTTTGTAGGGGAACATGGGAAAGAAGAGAATAGTTCATGATAGAAGAAATTATAAAAATATTTTTTTAAAAAGGAAGTTATTTTGAGCAATATTATTCTTCCTTTTTTTTTTTTTTTTTTTTTTTCTTAGAAAGTGTATTTTGGGTTAATTTGCTCCAAAAGACCATCTAAGCAAAAGTCCTGTAGTACTAGCAAGGGCAAGTACTTTTTGGAAATTCTGCAAGCCATGTCCTTCTCTACGTATTTCATAATGTCCCTAATCTCTCTCTGCAGCTTTTACAAGAGCCTTGCTTGATTAATCTTATGTCCTGTTAGCTAGGGAAATCCAGAGAGTTCATTATACTCTGTAGTGGGTGTTGAAAGTAACTTTTCTTTGGTTTGTTCTTAGATTCCTATGTGCCTTCCTATCCTGCTTCTACGTTCACCCAGTTTTATGTTACTGAAGACAGCAGGAAAAGTTAGAAAACTAGTGAATTTCCTCAATATTTTCTGGAATTTGAGGAGATCAGGATGACTGCGTCTTTTAAAAAAGGAAACTGACAAGATTTCTGTCTCTCAAAAATGTAGAGAATGAAAAAAATTAATGTAGAACATTATAGTAGATGGTAAGGATTTCTCTTTAATTAGCCTACTGATATATTGATAAATTTGTTTCAGAATAAAAAAATAATATAGCAGCATGTTTATTACCATGGGTTACATAAATTTCTGACTGAGAGCTTTTTTTCTTCTTTTTCGAGGTTGCTCTTGTTCACCTCCTTTTCTGGGTTTTATATTAGTTTACATGTAGCTGAATTTGAGCAAAGTATGGATATAAGGTTTAATCTCTTGAGTCATTACAATGTCTGATTATGAGATATTTCAAAGCCGAAGTAAATCTAAAGAAAAGCATCTCCCATTTGTATATCTGTCTTCATCATTTCAACAGAATTTGTGCTCCCACAATCTGTATTTTTGGGTTGATGTTATTTACATAACAAACAAAGAACAATTAGTTTCTCATTAGCTGCTAGGCAAATGTCATGCCCTCAGATTTTAATCAGCCAATGCAAATATCATCTGAATATAATCCATTTGCTATATTTTTCTTATTATGTCCTCTAAGAAAACAGCTAACCTTTTTATTTCAGTTCATGTGGATGAGCTTATTTTTAGATCTAACTTGCTGAGAATCTATTGTTTCCGTAGATACTCAAGTGTTTTATTTTATTAATACAATTAAAATAAATAAATAAATACATATCTAGATAAGCAATACTGTTCAGTCTGGATTTGGGTAGAAATATGTCTTCATTCTGAAATCTCAAAACTGAATATTAGGAAATTCTAAATGTTTGGTCTTGGCCTTCTGCCAAGAGGAGATGACTTGGGCTTTTTGCTTTATATATCTCTTAGCAATACATGTGATGTTGATTTACCATCCCCAGTGCAGCTGAAGTGCTTGTTTAGTTATTGGCACACCTGAGGCAGAAAAGGATGTGTGTTTCCCCAATTCCTAACAGGGATTGTGTTGTTTTTTTCTGTCTTTCATTTTGGGATCCTATGTAAGCAGTTTCAAATTTTCTCTTCTGCCTTGGGGCCACGATATCCTTAGGTACCATCTGGAAAACAGAGTCAGAATAAAATACGTAATTTTTTTTTTATTAGTAAATTTCTATTGTAAACACAGAGATACTCAACCTTTAGCATTAGGGAATACACCACGTCATCAAACAGTACTCCAGAGAGCTAAAACAGATTGCATTGTGGTATCTTTGTGACAATGGCTAATGGTGCAACAGTGTGACCTGATGATTCTGTAATATACTTACTCAGTTTAATGATACACATGCCACATAATTTAGTTTGCACTCTTTTTACATCACGTCTAGTTGTTAAAATGCAGTGAGACAGTTACCCCACTTAATGTCCTTATGGGGATCAGGGAGATGCCATCTTTCCCCTCATTCCTCCTAGCAAAGATATGTGCTTTCTCTATGTTCTGTGATGTTACAACTGCTACTGTTGTGAACATCCACTCCTGCAAAGTTAGTATTCAAAGAAATGTGGAGGGGGAAAAAAATGCCAACGACTCCCTTACAGCAGGTTGTACCTATGTTCACTTGGGAATGCCGGAGTAGGAAGTATACCAACTCCATTTGCTAACTTTTTCCAGCTGTTATGTGTCAGTCCTCTACAGCCCTCTGTCTTGAGTTAAGAACCTCACTAATTGTGAAAACACAAAATGTAGTTTAAAAGTCAGAAGACTATAAAATCAAAAAGAAATTTTCACTCAGATAGTAAATAGACAGATGAGAGTTGTGATGAGAGAACATGTAGCTAGTAGCTGATAAAATCAGACAACCAAATTGTCAACAATTTGAAGAGCTGCATTATTTATCCATTGTAACAATTACCAAGAAGCATATGAATCATACCACTACACTTGAGAAATAATTTTGTCTTTATTTTTCCTCTCCTTCCATACCCCATCCATTAGATAAGGAAAGACCTTATGGGAATGCTTTTAATCATAATGAGAAATATCTGTATGTGGTTTACTCCTTTCTGTCTGCCTGCATGGCAAAGGGCTTTTTCTCTTTCAGGGATTGCTTAAGCCACTCTGGAGGCTGATTGCTGAACAGAAGAGGAAGCAGGGTCATTAGAAGGACTACAGTTAGAAATGTGCATTAGTACATGTACAGTCATCACCATGAGACTCTGGCACTGGAGGAAATTTACGCTGTTTTTCACATTAACCTGTGATCTTAGGAGTAATGTGGATTCCATTATTTCCTTTAGAAGAAGATAAACTTACAAACATTTTGATAATGTAAGATAAATTTTTGGAAGACAAGTCCTTGCCTTTAGACAAGGAAATATTTAAGGACAGAAAAATAGACTGGCATATTTATTTTATTTTGGTTACACAGTTCAAGTGATTTGTTTCTAATGGAAAACTATATTTTACTTTCAAAGTGCCTTTCACCCAAACATCTTAGAATTAACTTAAGCTGATGTTTTCTTGGTCTTGTGAGGTAAGTGCATTTTTATCATGCATTTTGTAAATGGGTAAACCAAGGCAAAATCAATGAGAAAATATATTTCCATAATCACTATCAGAACATAAAAATCTGAAAAAGAGCTCCAGGTGATTTTACTATATATTTGAAATATGTGAAGAAAAAAACCCCAAAAATAGGTCATTGAAGCTGTTCTTCATTTAAAAAATAAATTCCTTCTTGCCTCCATGTCAGTTCCCATCACTAGTTTAAATAAGTGTCGGACATACTTGAAGGCTTCAGGAATAAGCAGAGAAAATAAAGAAAAAGAAAAAACTCCCACGTAATACACAAAGCCTACTACTGATGTATTTGTTAATTTAGTGACAGAAGTTCCTACTAAAGGGGAGTACCAGGC